ATCAAAACCTTCTTTTGTAGTTACAACGTCATTATTTATCTTTAACCCTGGGTTACTGCTAGTTGGCATGTCATCGGCTTCTGTGAGGTCTATAAAGTCATGATCGGAATCACTTTCATCAAACATGTCATCTTTGGCACTATGGTGGATATTAAAAACTGTTTCCATGCCTGCTTCAAATCCCTGACAAACTTTAATGTTAACACTTAGAAAATACACTTTATGAACTTGCGATTGAGGATTTTCTTCAAAGTACTCTTTTGTTGCCTCCAGAATCGCCTGGGTACATGGCATAAGAGGATAACCATACACGCCAGAGCTGATAGCAGGCATTCCAATTGAGGTGAATCTATTTTTCTCTGCCTCTTCATATACACATGTCACTGCACTCATAAGTAACCGTTTCATCTGTTTTGCATTTGAACTTCTGGTGTACCTTGGACCAACAGTGTGGATAATCTTTGTACATGGGAGACTACCAGCACCTGTTAGAATAACTTCTCCTGTTGAAACGGCTCTCCAACCACGGGCTCTCATTATTCCATTACTTTCTTCCTGTATCTCTTTCCCTCCTAGGTATAATAAAGTGTTAAGCAAATTTAACAATTGTCTACAGTCACAATCACCATTACAAGAACAACATTTTGGAATTTTTTTTGCAGTTGTATATTTGTTCTACCTACTAAACACAGTATTTCAGAATTAAATGCATTATTAATTATTTTCATCTCTTTAATTTTTCTTTATATTTCAGATGCGAATATTGTACTGTACAGGAGTTTCTAAATAATTCAGTATACCTGTATTTACTAACAAAATTATTTGTTTGTTTAAACATTATTTTGTGAGGTTCATCCAGTCAAATCTAATCAAATGGGATCCTTATGAGAGACAATAAAAGTTACACTTTTGTATTTGTGTGATTATTGAATATTTAAATTCAATATTTACGTTATTTAAAAACAAAATTATAATTATATATAAAGAATATCCAAAAAGCATCATACTTACCTGCATCAACAATAGCTTTTGCTAATCCTCCAACATGCTGAAGTCTGTCATTTGCAGCATTGACAATGACATCAACTTTCATTTCAGTCATATCGGCTTTACATACTATTAATTCAATACCATTTTGTAATGTGTGTCTTAATAAAGTGTGCATTGCCTCAGTGCTGGTATACCGGTTGCTGCCATCAAACTCGATAATACATTTGCAGCGGTTTTCCACAGATTCTAGAGCTACATTTCCTTTATCTTCTCGAAAGAAAGTAGCCATTCCTGGTTGGGATATCAAATGTTTACCTATCAATACCTTGCTTTCTAGGCCAATTATTTTCTCTACTGCTGCATCGATACCACTCCGATTACCTTTAATCACAATGCAGCTGCTCATTTGGCTAGGCTTTAATTTTACAAAGTATATACTTAAAGCTGATTCAATAGCAACTAGCTCTTTTGAATGATGTTTTTCAAGTAGCCGAACCATCCCTCTTTCTAAGCCTTTCTTTTTTTCCATAATTAGGTTGGTGCTTAAAAAGTCACTAACTTTGCTGATAACCTGCTTGACAGCCATGTCAAATCCAGTGATCATTATGCAAGATTCACCTTCTTTCTGAGTAACTACTTCAACTGTTACAATACCTGGTGAATTTAAATCATCTAACAATTGTTTGCCATCAGCCGATTTTATTACTTTCATTTTATCACTCGGAAGGGGATACTTATGATGCATAATCATTTCCTTAATGCTGGATTTTGCAGCCATGATATCTTTATCAGAAGTGGAATATATTTTTACTCGGTTTCCATCAATTTCATACGTGATATGAAGATTATTTTTTGCAAGTAAACTTATGATCTTATCGTAAAAGTCTGTTAGGAATTGGCATATTCTTGCACTAAGTGGAAATGAAACTTCTGCAAAGTTCTCTAATTGTTTGTAAAGATCAAGCATGGCACTGTCTACATCATCACAAAGTCCCTCAAATGATACAATATTGTTTTGATCATCCACCATCATTTTAACTCTATAGTTACTCTTTGCAACCTCCTCAAACCCAAGCAATTGAATTTTCTTAATTTTGATTGGTTTATATTGTTTTCTTTCCGTTATTGTTTTCTTTTTTCTCTCGATTTTATCATTCATTACCTTGAGTTCATGTGAAAACTTGTCCCAGACCGTCTTGACAGCATCTTTCAACCCTAAAATCATCAGAGATGGCGACGAATCATCTGGAATTAACTTCACACCGTCAGTCTTCTCATTCATTAAGTATTGCTGAAAATCTTCAAAGCATTCATCTCCAATTTCCAAGGTCTTTCTGTCAAATTGGTCGCTGAAGAGTCGTGTAAAATTACTTGCAGCATGATCTTCCCAATTAGAGATGCTATTGAGGTCAAAACCTTCAACAGCATGTAATTTCAAAATGCATGGATCATCAGGGTTATGTTCTACTTCTATTCCAGCATTAGCTAAATTAACGTTGAATGTTGGTGTCGTGTTAGCAAATGTAAAAAGGTAAGGATCAACAGGCATAGAGACTGGATCTGGTATCCATTGACAACCATCTGATACCAATTCGCCAATGTCATCATGGTAAAAGCACACTTCCAAGTTTTTGTTCTGAAGTCGATGCTTTTTTTTAAAGACTGATTTCACCACTATATTGTCAATTAAAAAAATCACGTTTAGCAGAAAATCAAAGCTTGCATTTTATAATATGTGTTTCTTTTATCTGGAAATATTTTAATTCGTAACTACTCTATGTCTATGTACAATATTTAAAGAAACTAAAACAGAATTTTCTCACTATTTTTTTTTTTTCTACTTTGACAGTACATATGACAAAACAGTGTTTATCTCCATATTGGGTTGAATCTCGATAATACACGACATGAAACATTTCATAAGTTCAGCAAGTGTGCACTTATACATTTTAAGGATTTATCACAAGGCAATAATATTTCTATTTTTTTTATTTGGTGACAGGTTTTGTTGTAGTAATAATACACAGCATAGTTGGTCAACACATAATAATTTTTAGAAAAACTTAATGTTTGTCATTGTCACCTTTCAATGAGTAAATATTCAGTAGCCTAAAGTTTAATTAAAATTGTGTATACGAATCAATTCAACATTGTCTGTATGTCTCTCTGTCTGGCAGCAATACTATGCAAAAACTATAAAGAGACATAATCTAAGAAATAGATGATTAACCAGGCCCGTAGCCAGGGGGGATTTTTATGGTTCGGGCGAACCCCCTTTTCTAGCGAACCCCCCTGTTTTCTAGCAAACCCCCTCAAATTTTTGAATGAGTCCCACTCGGACGGAATGTCTGTTTTTAACTTACCCAGCATTAAATCAAAATTTAGCACCTAATTCATTATTTGGTCACCGGTTTTTAAATTGTAGCCTGCAATACATTAAATATCTCAGCTTCAGAAGTTCGGAGATTTAAATTGAACGCAACTCCGGCAAACCATGACTTTACGATAGCTCAAGTACATAAGGATGACTTTCGCTGGCCTTTGGCTGAATGTTCGTAAGAAATGTACCAACCGGTAATGAAACTGGTCTCCGTCTACCTAGAGTAAATGACGCCACCAAACGAAGATAAAGTTTTGCGACTTAATCCACCAAATGCAGCTAAAGTTTTGCAACTTGATGATTGTGGATTGTGTGGTTCGTAAATTTCATAGCCATACTGTCCATTGCGCACACTAGATTATTTTCTGATGGAGCATTTTTGGAAAATTGACTCTCCTTTTTTCCATCCCAAACAACATATTATTAATAAATTAACATGGTCCATCTCAGTCATTATAGCGAGTCACAAAATAAGGAAGTTTGTTTTCAACAGCAAACACACAACAGAACGGAGTGCGTCAAAATCTAAAAAATACGTACTGGCATTTTGCAATACACATTCCGTTGTTGTACAGTATGACATGTTTCATTAACATAACATACACTGAGGATCGCCAACGAATTGGGTGGGTATTCAAACTTTTACGATATGGTGAACTATTTTGATTAAAATGTTAAAGTGATTATATAAGAATTAGATGAGTTACTGTCAATAAAACAATTCGAGGAAGAGGAGTATTCAAAATATCGGTACTATTAATATGGGACTAATCAGATGACTGACGCCGTTCTCCATCGACAGTTGATTTTATGTGCATTATTTATCTACAATTCCTATCTACAGTATATACACTAGAGAATATTTACACTCACAATTTAAAAAAAAAGTTACCAACAACGACATCTAAATAGCTGTGGGAAAAACAAATTATCAGCCTGCTGCTCTCTGCCTGAATAGTGATCATAACTGATAAATAATGATGCAGCAACACGCTTGGTCAACTTGTAAAATTTTAGAACCTTTTGTTGTTTGCCCATAAAACAAATTTTGGTGTGTTATACAGTACGATTTCAAAACATTGTCATCGTAAAGAAACAGCTATAATATTGAAAATAAACAACTTGAAAACAAAATCTTTTACAACCAATTTTTACACACATTTGTGAGTGACGATGTGTAATAGACATGCTAAACAAACATTAGCGGTTAGCTGTATAATATCTTTGAATATCATTTTAGACTGATTCATTCATATGCTTGGTCATCTTGTAATCATTTAGAATTCAAAAGTTTTTAATAATAGGGTCCGTATCTCTACACTTCTAGACGTAGTATCAAATTATAGTTGCCATAGACCCGGTTTCATACACACCCGCTTAAGTAAATTTCAAAGGAAACTGTTTTTCCAATTTTTCTTATTGTTAAATACTCCTATGCAATACTGTAGGCTCCTGGTATAAAATTGACAATCAATTAGACACTCTGTAAAGATTGATTATGCTCTTTATATAATAAGGCCATAGGCCTAATGTGTGTGAAGTACTGACTTTGTTAATATCGAATGGGTGAAATTGCGCACAAACTTCAAACTCTTGGCCTAACATACAATGCTAGAGGTCGGAAAGGATATCACGTTTTAGTCACCAAAAAGGATTTTCCATGGACGCACTGAGTAGTCCTTCTAACAGTATGGCCCAAAGCAAACGAGTTTCTGGTCAGTACAAAATACTGCACAGTATGAATTATATTATAATTCATTGAAAACGCTTTAAAATGAAGTTTATGTATATATACTAATATTTTGCGAATCTTGGGTTTTTAAAAGCAATCTTGGGATTTTTTAGACGCAATCTTGAATTTTGATTTTCCCTAGTGGTCACGCTGCATTTAGTTTAGAGACAGAATTATACCCCGACGACATCAAACTATTGTAGGCCTAGGCTTAAGTACAGTAGGACATACTACTAGGCCTAGGCTTTTGTTGTAAAAGTTAAAGTGCATGTACAGGATGCGCCATAGGCCTATATTTAAAAAAAATAATACGTTTTGTTAATTATTATTGGTTGGCCTGGGACCTAGGCAGGCAGGCCAGCTTTGCCATCGAAAATCCTGGGATTCGACGATGACGTCAGTGCACATGTTTACAAACGCCATTGATTGGAATGAAAATAGACGCGCTGAATTTCGTTTGTTTTATGAAAGATAGTATTTATCAAACATTTTATCTATATAAAAACAAGATTAATATTGTAGAAATTGTATTTCTAAAGATTCATATATCATTCTTATTTCATTTGGTAGACAATAAATATTCAGTAAGATACTAAAAACGATTAATAATTCTGAAATGTGCATCAAATCTCAGCTATTATTAATCAGTCTGTAATTAGGTTAAAGTCTTAAAACAGTAATTTAGAATTAGGCCTAGTAAACAAATAATTGTAATTAAAGTTTAGGTTCCCATGATGTCAGATGACGTATTCAATATGATGCTATATTTTGGGCTCTGACTTAATTTAATGATGGCTCTGTCAGCTGTAGTAGTAATGACAATATTTGTGCTTTTTTAGCCATGTAGTAAAAATAGTACAGTACTATTATTTTCAGTGTACAAGATGAGAGTCAAGAAGAAGTTCAGCTCCTACTTTATTTTGTAACAGGCAACTCTATTTGTTTATATAGGCCTACTGGAAGATTCATTATTTAAGTTAAAACAAGACAAAACTTCTTAAATGTTTTATGTATTATAAATAATAAGTTTTTTTAATAAGTAATAGCTTGTTTTGTTTTATAATAAATGTGTTGAGTATATTGACATTGATTATGCGATGAGGTTTTTTTTTTTGTCTTTCGGTGTGATTAAAACATGCCAATTCTCAGAAAATACTTTCCAATTTTATTATATTACCACCTTTTATTACATAGATCTTTTTCAAAACATAACTGCTTTTATAACATTATATAGACCCACTAAACACAAAAACTGCTCTGGCATCGGAGGCTTCTCCCCCAACCCCACCGGGGCCCTTAAGCAGTCCTCTGGACCCCACGCCCAGAGAATCCCCCCTTGAAATGACCTGGCTATGGGCCTGTTAACATTTAACATAATTTTCTAAAAGTAGGTTATTGAATTAAAATTTTGAATGTGAAAAAATATTCCCGTCAAATAGAGGACAGTTAAGTAACACATTTCTTGTATTTTTTTATGCAGACCTGTATTCTTAAATTGGCTGGTAATCAAGTAAGGTATTTTTGTAGGAAAAACCTCTGTAAATCAGTGATAACTATTTTTTAGAACTGCTTTTGGTTGGAAGATAATAATTTATCTGATCTTTGAACATTTTAATTACAAATTTTTGAGGTATTTTATTTTATATTAAAACAGGAATGTACTACAAGACGCCTAGTCAGCAGGGATTTATAATATTTGAAATACAGTAGGTCTCATTTAATATAGGCAGCCACAATACGAACAAAAACGACATTATCAACCTACCTGTGTAGTTTTCAAACTGTATAGTTACTTCCAACTTTTTGCTGTCTAATTGCATGTCAATTATGTTTCCTCCACCACTTCTGTCCCAATTCTCAAAATATAGCTTTAACATTTCCTCTGTCACAGTTTTATCTAAGTTCTTTACAAGTATTGTGTCGACTTCAAACACTTTCTTTGCATTGATTTTTGTATTCTGAAGTTTCTCGTTTTCAATTTTTGAAATCACATCATCAATGTCTTTAAATAAATGAAACATTTCTAAAAATTAATTTACAAATATTACTTAATACAAATACACAATAAATTTGTATTAAAAATGATACAGAATAACAATTAAATTTGATTATATTAATGTTAATTACCGTTAATTGTGTCTCTATACTCCACCATAGCTTTTAATGGAACTCTTCCAAATTTGATTTTTGGTTGTTTTTGCCTTATCACTTTTTCTAAGTAAAGGTGAAATATTTCTAGATTCAATTTCTTTGGAAGATCACTAATCAGCAGACAATGATCAATTAGTGGTCTTCTGACCCGCTTTGACCCCAGACTAACAGTAACTCTGGATCCGCCAAGCTCATGATCTTTTTGTTCAGCAACTGCCTGAGAAACTAGAATAGGAAAAATTTTAATCTTTACAAGCATGATCAAACAATTAGTATATTGTAATTCATTAAAAACTATTTTTTAATTATTTCTAATAAAAAGTTAGAAAAAGTTCACCATAAGGGATTCAGGCTCCATATCATGGGATCAGAGTAAAAACTAACCTCATTTCAGTGGCAGACCCAGAAATTTAAATAGTGCGAACAAGGAAAGGACTTTAACAGATGGAGGGTACAAGCCACATCAGCCAGTTAGGGCTGAGGAACAACATTTTTAGGGTAAAGATTAAAAACAGCAGCCTTAGTATGATAAAATTCAGACAAAATTAAATAGTAAAGTACACTTTGATTGGAATTGAATATAAAATTTAATTGTAAAACTTTGTTTTAAAAAAAATAATGTCTCAATGTGCTTTAAAAAATATGAAAAAAAAAAAAATACCTCCAGATTCTTGGAAATATATAGCCCAGTTACCAGCAACTTTTTGGTTCTTCTTTATTAAACCTATTGGGCCACCACAAGACTTTTCATGATTTTCGAAGTACAGCCTTAAATATTCTTCAGATATTGACTGATTCACATTTTGCACCTCCAATGGTATTATTTCTTTGTCCTCCTGTTTTCCTTCTGTATCAGCTGTGTTGCATTTATCTGGAACCATTCCCATTGGTTGTGGTCTTAAAACCTTGATAGCTTTGTTGTTCAACCAATGAGACTTTTGAAGAACTCGATCAGCAACTAAAATAAGCAAATTTTCTACTTAGAGGCTGAGCAATGTATATTTCAATTGAAGTAAGGGCCATGGATATTGTTTCATCGCCCTTTTGTAAATCTGAGGTGTTGATTGGTGAAAATGGCTTGACCCTAAATCTAAATTTCAGTTTTGCTAGCCTAATGCACTATGACATGCCAGAAAAATATTTATAGTGTAAAATATAACGTTTTAATTGCTTTTACTTACTTTCAGAATTGTCAAATTTGACAGTCCATAATTTTTTGTTTTCATGGTACATAACTTTGACCTCATCACCACCACCTCCAGATCTGGCACGATTTTCAAAGTACATCTGTAATAACTCTGAAGAAGTACTGGTATCTCCATGTACCTCTACCACTGATTTGTCCACTTGATGTTTGTATAACCAGACCTTTTTCGGACGATGTACTGTAAGCAAGGTTTCGCTTAACTCATGACGACGTGCAAGAATTCTATCCACGGCTAAGAGATAAATTGATGATATAAATTTTTTTGCAATAATATATACATTTTGGTAAGTTATGTTTTGTGCTAGGCATATCCTATATTTGGCTACTTTAGCACAGATAACATAATAATGAACTTGTTAGATTTAGGGAGTTAATGAAGCAGCATATTTTAAATGTATATCATTCATCTGTACCTGAGAATAGGTTGTTTCAAGATCATTAAATCTCTTTTTCATGTACTATATAAACTGAAATATGAGACTAAATGTATAGTTCAGACACCATCTACAAAATAAAGATATTATAATAAGCACATCAGCTTGGAAGATCACAGGACCAACAACCTACAATTCTCTTCCAAGACATGGTACACTACTACAAAATGTAGGCCTATATCAACCTTCCAAATACAACTAGCTATTATAAGCTATGTGATAAAAAAAAAACCAGGGCACCATTAAATTAAAGATCTAATAACATTTACTGATATTCTATTGAACTAAATTTCAACAATACATTATAATGTGTTGTGGCAGGACAACATTTTTGTAGTACAAACAGACCCTTATATTGACTGCTAACAGAGCTTATTGAAACTTTGCTTTTCTGCAACCATTGTATTTGTTGATTGAGATGCAAATACATGATTCTGTAAATATTTTGCTATGAAGTTAAAATTAAGTAGGTGTCATATATATTGTTAGAGCACATGTAATGGAACATTTATTGCATGCCATATACCTGTTTTATCTTCAAACGTAATGGTGAATATGCTTTTATTTTTATTCATGTTACAATCTTTGATATCTCCTCCACCAGATCGTCTTTCGCTCTCAAAATACATTTCCAAAGTGTCTTTTCCAATCGAGGTTGGAAATCCACAGACTTCGACAGTGTTTTGCGACGGTCCAGATTCCTCGATCAATGAGACTTTTAGCGTTTGTCCGTCAATTGTATGTGGTCTTGTAGAGACATCTTCTGCAACTAATATTCAAATGCATATTTTCAAAACAGCAGTAGGATATAAACCTAGCATTTCTCTGGAAATTTCAGTTTGTATAGTAGAACCCAGTTGTAACACATTTCTGAGTCAGGAATTGATATTGGCGTAGTGTAGTAGAAAACGAGTGTTCATACGAGTCCACATAAGACATTCGTAGAATTACAATAATTTGCTAGATTTTGGTGTCTTCTACTGGACCATAATGTCAACGCTTTCTTAAGAAAGTGCTATATATTAGTAGAGGATTTGAAATGGGGGCCAGGAGCTTCGATCTCGCAATCCCATATGCGTTACACCACTGTTTCTGTATAATAAATTACATTAACCTTACCCAAGCTGAGGGAGATCCTGCCAAGACAAGTACCAGGAAGGGCCTTGTCTTGGGTTACAGGCACTTTTTTACTTTATTTATATATATATTTTTTTTTTATTTCTGCAGCAGACGCTCGGGCCGAAGCCTTCTGTTATGCAGCTGGCCGTATATTTAGAAGGAAAAGAATTTGGAACGAAAAAGTGTGACCGATCAGCGTGTTAAGCTGAGGTTAACATTATTGATTGTCTCAGGTATACACCTTTCAGACGAGGCTTTTTGTTAACATTATTAAAACATGTTTTTAAAGTATGTACTGTATGTATATGTCCTCCATGTTTAAATACGGTACACAGTTGCGTAAGTTAACATATTGAGTTTTTTCTGGCGTCCGCCGTGCGGGGACCCAAACAGTGTCCGTTTGGCCGAGCTCCTTTGATTTTTTTTTTACAGAGTAGGTGGTGGTTGGAAAGTAGGAACATATTTTGGAAGACTGATTTTATAGAAAGGGATCTGCTGTGGGCGGAGATGCCCTTTATTGAGTGCTTTTGTTGTTACTCTTGTTATAAGATGTTTGATCGGAACTCAAAAAAAAAATATTTTTATAAGAGAATATAATATATTAAACTTTTTAATAATATTAGTAGTATTAACAAGATAACCATCAATAAGTCAGAAGTAAAATCTATGTTAAATTTATACTGTACCGTACCTCCTTTTTCGAATGTAATTACAAGATTTCCTGGTTGAAGTAACTCGTGATTTAAAATATCTCCACCACCAGAACGCCTTTTATTTTCGAAGTACATCAGAACAGTTTCCAGTGACATCTTTTGATGGAAACAAACCAATATATTTACAGCATCTTCAGAAATGGGATTTTCAAAATTACCCGCAATTCTTGACAAGCGTTTTCCCTCTCTACGATAACGCACTTTACTTGGAAGATTAACGGTAAGTTTGCTGCGTTCTATTTCATGTACTTTATTAAGAACTCTCTCCATAGCTGAAGTAAGAATCATAACATAGGTTATTAAGATCATGATACCAACATGTAAGACAAAATGAGTAAACAAAGCCATGCAGATGGGCTAGTTGAGTACATAATTGAAATTTACAAGGTGAATTTAATTCTAAAATCCTTATAAACCTTTATTCAAAAATTGTGTCATGTTAATGGATGATTCTTACTACTGCGATTAAAAGTGATATAAATATGCAGGTCAACTGATCCCAGGGTCCCGAGTTATATTCCTGTGACCGCAGTTGGTGGTAACCTGTGTGTTGTTTGATTCCCACATTATATTAGCAGGTCTATTTCTCCTCACTTCATCAAAATTGACAGGGCAGTATATTTTTTGTAATCGTTATACGCATACCATATTTAGTTGTTCTTACTGTTTTTCAAAGTCATAACATTTTTCATAATGTTCATTTCTAAATATTTTATCACTTTATATTATGCTTATGCATGTAAATCTACTCGCAATTGAGTCTTGAAATTTAGTTTTAATGTACTGCAATGAGTTTTTATAACAGATGCATAATGAACAACGAATATCTGTTTTATTCATCATAGCTAAAATAATGACGAGCAATTTATTAACTATCACCTTCTGCTTCTTCAAACTTGATGGTAAATTTTGTTTTGTCTTCATTCATATTACTTTCCTTGATGTCTCCTCCACCAGATCGCCTCTTGCTCTCAAAGTACATTTCCAAAGTGTCTTCTCCGATCGAGGTTGGAAATCCACTGACTTCAATTGTATTTTGTGCAGGTCCAGTTTCTTCAATTAATGAGACTTCTAAAGTTTGTCCCTCGATTTTATGGGACTTACTGCAGACATTCTGTGCAACTGAAGTGCAAAGACAAATAAAAATACATGAAATTGTCGGAGATAAAGAGCCTAAACATAAAACATGCTTAAAATGTTACTAGCTACCATATTTTCAATAATCTATAATATATACATATTATATTATTTTGTAATAAAACTGTGTATTTATTATGTATAATACTGACAACTGCAATTGCAGCAGGCACAACAAAAACACCTACAGTACTTCGATCAATGAAATTTGCATACTCACCTGCTTCAACATACACATTTGTTTTCTCTCACTCAAGATGATTGTAATGGAGAGCAACTACTATAACCATTTCAACAAATTATGTATTTACTATATATTAAATACTTATATAACAACAGTAAATCTCAATAAAATCACTTGCGGAAGCTGTAACGCTTCTTACATCGGCGTAACCGGTCGCATTTTAAAACACGCCTTTACGAACATTTAAAAATGGACCAAAAAATGCAAGAATACATGTAATGAAGATTGTTTCAAAATAATATGTTCTGCTGATACCCCTTACCAACGAAAAATTAAAGGAGCACTACACATACAGTGGGAACAGCCCTCCCTTAACAAACAACTGCAACATGTTAATTTAACATTGTCTTTTTGATTCTTCTGACTTCATTCTTATTCATGCATTTTTTCGACATTGTTCATACTTGAATGCTCCGCCCACCATTTGGTCTTATATACTTCTTCATTTTTATTCATGCTTTTTTAACACACCTCAGTTCACCTACTTAACATGATATTTCATTACATTTGTTAGATCTTATAAATACTCCTAGTGCCTATTAGCATTTCTACACTGAAGATGGCAGTTGAACTGCTGAAACATGTTTGCACCATGAATTTTTATAATAAAACAGTCAGGCTCAGCCTAAATGGTATCTTTGAAAGCAGTTATGATTTTATTGAGATTTACACACACACATATATAGCTAAAAGGTAGTTGTGAACCTACCTCCTGCTTGCTCGAATATAATGAGTACTTTTCCCGGTTGAATTTCCTCATAATGTTTTATATCTGCACCTCCAGAGCGCTTTCTACTCTCAAAGTACATAAAAACTGTATCAAGTGATACTTTACTGAAACATACTTCCAACAACTGCAGTGGCTCATCACCCCCATCTTCTGAGCTGTCCCTTGAAAAATTCAATGGACTGTCTGCATCTGGGGTGGTTGATGACAATCTTGGTTGATCTCCGTGTTCCTGACGTCGTTGATCCCTGGGTCTGTCTCTCTGAATTGGCTGGCGGTGATCCTCATTACAGTGATGCCATTCAGAGGACATTGAACTGCTGCAATGCATATCACCATCATTAAATTGCATTGATTGGTCTGGTAGGTTGCAAGGTATTGGATCATTTTCTTCCGTAGACATATGCCTATGTACATATTGATCCTAAAGAATTTGAGCAATTGATGTTAAAAATATGCTTGGTGTGAAATTTTCCTAAATGTAGGGGGCCCAATCCCCTCTCATCCCAACCACCCCTTGAATTATACTGTGCTTTAAAGATACAAATAACATAAAGTAATCTGAAAGTCATGAATTCTAGAGCTTAAAATAATATTGTATTATACGTCCTATATGCCTATTTTAATTTAAATATAGACCTAAATAACTGACATAGTCTATGGAAGACAGTCTACTATAAAAATTCCTTTTTCTGCAGACGCCTCATTACAGTTGGTCAAAATCCAAGCATCGTATATGAACTCGTTTTTACAAACGTGGGACAGTAGAGTATTTCCATGACAAATCAACTAAAACAAAACATAATTCTCTCGGATTTTGTTCAAATTTTCATATGTGTTTGGTGTAGGATTGGCGTATTGCCTGTTTAGTTGGTTCATAGTTGTGCTGCCCTCTGGGTTGTTGTTGTTGTTCCAGCATGGCTGCTGGCGAGGCCGTAAAGTGTTTGGCAGAATAAAAGTTTCCATTCTAGTTTATACTGGACTACCTTGTATTACTTGGCTACCAAATACTACATGGTGGCAGCGGGAAAGTGTTAGAACACAGGTAACCCTCATCAATTTTAAAATACTCTAATTTCATCAACGACCCCGGTGGACTAGGCCTACACCGGTAAACATGGCCGACGGTTGCCGCAAGCCGAGCATACTGCACTTCGACGGTAACGTCGGCGAGAATTGGCGTATTTTCGAAGAAGATTTCGATATCTTCAAAGAGGCGGTGCACGCCAAGAAAACGGACAAACAAAAGGCATATCTACTGCTGAATTTGACAGGTCATGAGGCAGTGGAAAAGTCACGGGGATTTACGTATGCTAGTGGAGAAAGTAAGGACAGCTCTTGAACAGGAATTTCGGTACTTCTGCACTCCGATTAAAAACGTGACTATGGAGCGGTATTGCTTCAACAGCCGACAACAGCAGGCAGGTGAATCGGTACAGTACATCGCTGTTTTAAAGACGCTCGCAAAAACATGCGAATTTGGTGAACTAACAGATGGCCTGATAAAGGACAGAATAGTCTGTGGTATTGCAAATAATAATATTCGGAAGCGGTTGTTGCACAAAAAAGATATCACGCTTAAAACTGCTATAGAGATTTGCACCATACATGAACAAACAGGCACGCATTAGCTACGCTCAAGAAAGAAGACAGTAAAGTGGACTTTGTTAGTAGTAGTAAGCAGCGTACGTTGATGCAATGTAATGCATCTACTCATATGGGCAAGAAAAATTTTAAGCACACGTACTAGATCTAGTGGTAAAACGGCCCAACATACTACAGGTGTAAAACCACAAAACATAGGATCTTGTAGATGGTGTGGTTACGAGAATCACAAACGAAATGACTGCCCGGCGAAGAATGTTGAATGTCGGCAATGTCATGAAATAGGCCATTACCAAAGGGTATGTCGATCTTCTACACCTGTTCATAAATCAACTAAGGTCAATGAGGTTCAATACAATATTGATGGTTCATCTGAGGATTCGGATTTTCTGGGTAAGATTTATGTAAATGAGGTTAATGATACTGATAAAGAAAATAATTGGTATGCTGAGATCGAAGTTAATGGCAAAAGTGTTAATTTCAAAATTGATACTGGGGCAAGAGTTAATGTTATCGGTAGTGACCATGATATCATGAAACATTGTAAAATTAACAGACCCCACAAGCAGTTGGTAGGCCCGGGGCAGGTAAAGCTCAAGTGTAAAGGGGTCGTAAATGTAACCTTCAGGTATAGAGATACAATTATTTATGATCACCTGTTTGTTACTGACAACCAGAAATGCCCACTCCTCAGTAGGAAGACCAGTGTCGGTCTTGGTTTGATTACCCGAGTGAACGAGGTCACAAAGGATTTCACTCAGGAGATGTATCCTGAGTATAAGGGCATGTTTGAGGGGCTAGGGAAGTTTAAGAACACAGAATGTAAGATCACGTTGAAAGACAACGCCACACCTTTGTGTGTGCATGCACCTAGACGAATCCCACACCCATTATTACCTAAGGTTAAAGATTCCCTTCAGAAAATGGTTGACAAAGGTGTCATTTTGCCCATAAATCACCCAACAGATTGGTGCTCTGGAATAGTATGTGTCCCTAAATCAGATGGTTCTGTGCGGATATGTGTGGATTTGACACACCTCAATAAATACGTGAAATACACCCAATGGGCAATGTTGACTCACATTTGGCTACATTATCTAGTAGTAAAATGTTTACTAAACTTGATTTAAACAGCGGGTTTTGGCAAGTTGAACTTGACCAAGAGTCAAAAGAGTACACAACGACTTTGTGATATGCCATATGGATGACATATTGGTGGCGCTGTTGACCTGCGAACCTATCTTTGTTACCTTGGTTTTTCTGCGTAAAATTTGACATTTTTTAACTGTTTGTTTGGTGATTTTTTTTGGTGAATTTTTGTATCCTTATTCTTTGCAGGTGTCGTTCTGTGTGTGGTTTTGACCATTCCAACTAATTTATTACGGTATTTGATCGATGTTGCTCTAGGCCACTTCTATGATCTCAATACAATGTTCTGCTACTCGAGGGCACAGCTTTTTGAGCTGAATACAGGGATGACTGAGTGGGAACCATTTGACACGACGTTGGAATGTCTACCTACTTGCTGCTATAAAGTATAATGCATCAAGGTTTGAGCATATTGGTCACTCCCGTCCGTTTGCTAAATTTTAAATGTAGACAAGGAAAACTGTTGTTATTGTGTCACATAGACCTGAGCCGATCAGAAGTAGGTCTAGGCCTACACGTAAGATTACGAGGCAGAATTTACTGACCATTGAAACTGTCTATATACCAAGAGCTAGGGATGAATGTCCTAGAATATATCTTGCAAATGCAAGATCTATAAAAAACAAATTAGACGAATTTGAACTGACTTTGATTAAGAATAAAATTGATGTAGCTGTTTTAACAGAGACCTGGCTCAGTGATGATATGAGGAATTTTGCGGAAATCCCGAAGTTTGTTTCTTGTACAAAAAATAGATAAATAATAGGAAAGGTGGAGGTGTGGCCATCTACGCTGGTAATGGAATAAATATTGACCCTGTAGTGGGACATGCACATTGCTGTTTTGAATGCCTTTGGGTAAGAGTTACCATGCCTCGCAGATGTAAACAAGGACCTAATTTCTATTTTGGTTGTTACTTCCCACTGTTTGCCCCAGGGGATAACCTGATTGAACACATCATCAACACCATTGATATGATCCGTTCTGTGGATAGCTACGCACCCATTATCGTGCTAGGGGATTTTAACCAGCTAAACATTGCCGGCATTGAGACGTGTGTAGGATTTTCCCAAGTAATACATTTCTCCACCAGGAAGGACACAATGCTTGATAAGATATTCATGAACTACCCTGAAATGTATAGTGCCCCCAAACAATTAGCTCCATTGGGACGCAGTGATCACAAGGAATTGCCACAAAGTAAATGTTATAAAATTAAAACTCAACTGTACCGCGACAGCACTGTGAGATGTTTCGGACAGTGGATCACTGCATATGAATGGGACAACCTGTATAACATCGATGATATTACCGTAATTCAAAAACCAGTGAGTTTATCTCTGTGCTAAATGGAGCATACTGTTTCGTGGCGATATTCAGTTAGGCAATAAGAGGAGACTCAATCATATAATAACTATTCAGATGAGTATTTATTGTGAGTAC